AGAGAGAGCAGTTCATCCTTTATTGCTCCTGGAGAGCCATTTCAAAGCTCATTAATCAAAAACTCGTCGCTTTCAGACTCCTTGCTGATCCCTCCTCCTCCTGAACAAAGCATTTGCATTCCAAATCCAAGTAACACATTTCAAATCGAGAAGCCCCAATCGTTAATGGTGGGGGAGAGTTTTCTAAAAACCTAGTGTGTTCACAGTCTCTGAGATATCTCTGATTTAAAAGCGCATCAAGGTAAATTAAATCATCAGTGACTTTACATCTGTGCAGGTCCCACAGTTCAAAAAGTTGTATCTGAATGTGACTCAGCACGCAGCTGTCATCCTAAAGCCTTTAACAACATGACTTTTAGGTTGGTTTCATCTCATTTCATAATGAATGTATTCCTGGATTTTGTCTCTGAGCTGCAACAATAGGCTACAAATCACCTCGGTATTCAGTGGATGGCGGCCATTTTGACCCTGGGTGAGCTCTTTCTTCTTTCAGCTCCCCCACTGCAGCTTTCTACACCGCTAGTCAATTATTAAGACCCTAATAGTTTTAATATAATATCATTTAGAAAATTGAACGAAATATTCCCCCGCAACAGGCTGAACATTAGGCTAATAAAAAATACTTTTATGTGATCCGCATTATTTCGAACTGGTTCAAATGAAAAAGCTTTGCATTTAAAATATTCATTACTATTTATTTATCTTTCTGGTGTGAGAAGAGTCAATTCACAATATTATTATAAAAAATATATAATGTATGTTTTCTTTTCAATTTTAAACTCTTAAACCTGATGACAAAAAATATAGGCCACCAGAGGCAATCAAACAAGGAAATAATATACATAATACAAGTCGAAATATCACTGCTGTAGCACCAAATGGGGCAATTGGAGTATCAGATGTTATGCTCTCCACCCCCATGACATACATGGGTGTAGCTGGGATCAACTGGCATGCAAAAGGAAGTTTCACCCCATTTGGAAAGAGCATAGTTCCTTTGATTAGAGCTGCACTGTAAATAAAAACCACTGCTTTATAAAGTGGGGGTCTGGTTAGAAAACTTTATGAAACGTTACTTTACAGCTTATTTTGTTGTCTAAATCTTGGTATGTAAACAGAATACGATTTGACAGTTCAATTGCTGTCAATATGCACACGTTTGAGGTTATGCTTAAATGTTGACTTGCAATAGAACAATTGAATCACAGCCATAAATAAGTAAAAGAAGAGCCGCTTTGTTGGAGCGGCCAGTGCAGATGGGACCTCGTTTTGTGTTCCTGATTGGATAAAAGCAGACCACGCCTGCTCAGTGGAGGGTAATATTTACATATGGGGAAGTAGCCCTACTGTAGGCTAACTATTAATGAGAACAAGAGGTGTTAACAGCCATTGGCTCATCTGTACACATGGACATCCTTACTGGAGGCAGTTATCTGATTAAAACACTTTGATACTTTTCATAATGTTAAATATTATGGACAGAGAACTTGCAGTGCAGCCAGCCTTTTATTCGAAGTGTTGGAAGTAGAATAAAAAGGTGTAGTCCCAGCTGCTTCTTAATTTATAGGGTGCAGGAAGAAATATCGTTTCTCACGACACCGACACAAGACAATTCTTTAATCAGACCTCGAGAAAAGTTGGTGTGCACAGTAGCTACATATCGCGATGGTTCCTCTGTGCAAGCCAGTAGCATTCATCTCCATCCCCAAGAGGGGTTTTATTTTTCTACACGCGCTGGCTCGAGAGACAGGAGGCAGCAGGAGTTGAGAAAACGTCGCAGAAGAAAGTAAGATGATCAAGAATGTGTCTCGTTCTTGAACTTTTATGAAGCGCGTCCTGTCGAACGAAGTTGCTGTGGATTATCAAGGATCAAGGCTGAAAATCACAACAAAGCAGTTTACGGAAGTGAACAGAGAAAGGATCTCAACATCTCAACACAATCTGACGAAGACTATGAGGACTGGTCCGTTTGTGACCCAAAGAGTGGAGTGGAGCAGAGGACGTGAAAGAAAAGGGGGGCTGAAGGTCTTTGGTTTTTATCACAGCACTCCTCAACTCATTTATTTCCTGTATCAAGGCTATGGTTTGTGTTTACTCGGTGAAATGTGCTGCTCTCTCAAACTGTGACGAAAAGCTCGAACTGTGTTGATTTGTGGAATCTTACTGAAAGTGTAGGATTTATTATTGTTGTTGACTTTAATCTAGTCCAATCAGATCAGCTAAGACACAATACATAGATTAAACTCCTTATATTGCAGGATCCAGTTTCAGGGAGATTTGCTTTAAAATATTTTGCCACCTTTGTATGATGATGGGAAAGTTACAAGACATAGCTTTAGACCTGTGCACGTTTATTTATTCGCTTGCTTATTTATTTACATAGTTGTATGTCTCTTCCAGTCTGAACAATTTGAATGTAAACTCATTGTGTGTGTTTCATTTTATTTCCACATGTTTCTAAGGATAATCAGATGTTATTATTACTCATAGAGGGCCTACTGTTGTTATGATATTATTTGTTGTAAAAGTTGCTAAATGAAATTGCCAGTAACCCCATTTAATGTATATTAATGAAAATGTATCGATATCTAAAATACACATTTTTCCTCCAATAAAGAAATTAATTTTGCCTTGAAATTGTTTGTTATTTCAGCTGATGCTCATTCACTCACCTTATAGATTCATACAAATTACACGAGAGCAAAACATATTTTAGTTTTATTATGTAAAGAAGGTGCCATATTTTTGCAGTCCACACACCTACAAAGTGCACATTTTATACAAGGTTTATATAAACAGTTTGATACACAATGTCTGTCAGTCCATTAAACTGAGAGACAGGATTTAATGTTTGTCTTTGTTTGTGTTGATGTCCAGTACATCTTTGGTATCAGATGCGAGGAGGAAGGACAACTGATTTTGATCACAAACCCTGACCATCTGCACTGACAGAGGATGTGAATGTTAGAGGACACCATTGTCAGAAGTCCTTCATGTCCTCTGGCCTCTGCTGTCGTTAGGAATTCACCACACAGTGTAGGTGAATGAGCAAAGGAGGCACACACTCTGTTCATGGTGGAGGCATCTGTGCTGTTTGCCAACTCATAAAGCCTACACTGCATTTTCCTTCTGAAAGGGAACAGATTATACAAATACTGCAGCGCTACATCTCATCCATGTGAATACTCAGTATTTGTGTATTGGTTGCAGGGGGCTACATCTGTCCTGTAGTGTATTATTAAAGAGGGCATATTGCCTGGAAAAAGTCAGTCCTTACACACGGAGAGCAAAGTAAAAGCATCCCTAATGGCAGAATAAATGATGTGCTAATGGTGAAGAGCCTTAAATAAGACTGCAGCCCTGGACTCCAT